GGGTGTTTTAGGCCACTGTAAAGACTTTAGCTGTACTCTGAGTGAGATGGAGTGATTGGCTGGTTTTATCTTATTATATTATTATTTTAAATATGTTTTTATTGATTTTAGAAGAGAGGAAGGGAGAGGGGGAGAGAGAGAGAAACATCGATCAGCTGCCTCCTGAACGCACCTGATGGGGGAGAGCCCGAAGCCTGGGCATGTGCCCTGACCGGGAATCGAACCCGCGACCTTTCGGTGCACAGGAGGACACTCAACCAACTGAGCTACACCAGCCAGGGCAATTAAAACAGGAGAGTGAGGTGACCTGATTTATAAATTTAAAATATTAATTGTAAAATCTAGGTTGAGGGTGTATGGGTGTTCTCTGTGAAATTCTTTTAACATTTCTCTGAAGATTATCACGATAAAATATTAGGGGAGGGGAAGCCCAACAAACTTGTTCTGGCCATCGTGGGTGGATAAAGGGATTCTGGGGCACAGGGCAAAAGCTGGGAAGCTGGTGAGGGGGCGCCTATAATAGTCCCGCAAATGATGCCTGACCTTGACTCAAGTGGTAGCACTGGAGGTGGGGAGATAGACTTCTTGCTGTGTTTGTGAGATTGAGCCAATGGAGCTGAATGTTGGAGGTGAGGGGGACAGCAGGCATGGAGGTGGTGGGGCTACACACGGAGCTGGGGACAACAGGAGGGGAGAAGCAGCAGCCAGATAAAGAGTGGAAAGGGGAAGTTCAGGGGAACGGAGAGCAAGTCATGGCTGTGGAGAGTGTCGAGTCATACCTGGTCTGAAGGTCAGAAGAGCCCTCTCTGGGGAAGTGACCTGTGCTTTGAGGGATGAGTGAACATTCCTTTGGTGGAGGACCATTCAGGCACAAGAATCAGCACGTGCAAGGGTCCTAAGGGCAGGGAAGGGCTTGGTGGGAACGAAGATAGGAAAGAAGGTCAGTGATCCACAGAAAAAAAGCCATACATTGGATTGCTGTTAAGTCAAAGCCTTCACACAGGGCCTTGTGGGCCGCACTGTGCCTTTTGTGTTATCCCAAGGGTACTGGGGAGCCATGGAAAGTTTGTGAGCAGGGCAGTTGACAGTGACAAGGTCCAGTTTACAGTGTATGAAGCTCATTCTGAGTGGAAAAGAGACTCCAGGAGTGCAGGAAGGAAGGCAAAGAGTTGAGAAAGGAGGCTTGAGGCCACTATCTCAAGGCACTGAGGACAAGCCCCCGTTCCTGAGGCCCACCCCACTCCCTGCAGGCCCTGTGCACCAAAGTGCCTGAGCTGATCAGGACCATCATGGGCTGGACACTGGACTTCCTTCGAGAGCGGCTGCTGGGCTGGATCCAGGACCAGGGTGGTTGGGTGAGGCCCCTAACTACCCCACTCCTTCCTGAGCCCCCCACAGTGGTGTCCCCCCACTCCCCCTTTTCAGACCATCAGATGTGGTCTGTAATGGGTTTCTTCATGTGTCTGATCAACACTTGATTCATCTGGTAGCTGTTGACCTTTGTGTGACCCCTGACTCCCAGTGACCCCTGACCTGATTAATATATTCTACCCTCCCTGGTGCCTCCACTTCCTCTAGAATCCTCAAGTTCTTTGATAACCCTTGATCCCAGCTCTTTTTTTTTTTTTTTTTTTTTTTATCCTCACCCGAGGACACTTTTCGATATTTTGTTCAGATAGAGTGGGAGGGGGAGAGAGAGAGAGAGAGAGAGAGAAACATCAACGTGAAAGGGACACATCAAGTGGCTGCCTCCGCACAATCCCAACCGGGGCTGGGGACAAACTGCAACCGAGGTATGTGCCCTTAGTGGGAATCGAACCCGGGTCTTTCCAGACCGCAGGCCAACGCTCTAACCGCTGAGCCAAACTGGCCAGGGCTGACCCCAACTTTTTAGTAGCTATTAGTCATAGGCCCTTGTCCCTGCTCCTGCCCTCTGACCTCTTCCTGATTTCTTCTGTATTGGCCCATGGCTGAATCGCTTAAGTGACTGATGTCCCTGTCCCCAGGATGGCCTCCTCTCCTACTTTGGAACACCCACGTGGCAGACAGTGACCATCTTCGTGGCTGGAGTGCTCACTGCCTCACTCACCATCTGGAAGACGATGGGCTGAGGCCACCAGCTGCCTTGAACTGTGTCTTTTCTGCATAAATTATGGCATTTTTCTGGGAGGGGTGGGAACTGGGGGCCAGGGGCCTTTTTCTTACTTTTGTAATTATTGGGGGTGGGGTGGGGTGGGGAGGAGTGGTTTCGGGGGGGGCAATAAACCTCTTTTGGGCCACACTTCCGAGTCTGAGTTACTGGGCCCCGTCCCTGCTGTTGCAAGAAACCAGGCCTCCGGTGCTGACACATATTCTTCTGAGGGTGTTGGTTGCCCTCTGTGGTTAGTGATGAGTTGGGTCCTGACCCTGCCCTCCAGGACCCTGCAGTCCTGAGGAGAATAGATGTGACTTGAGATCACCTGTCACAACTTAGGGTGTGGACCACGGCAGAAGAGCCCAGGGTGAAAAAGGATGGGGCAGAAAACAGGGTGGCAGGGTACAGAACAGGCCTCCCCGCCTGGAAGCTTCCACCATATGGCAAGTAGCACACTGACTGATGTGGAGCATGGGGGAGGAGAGGGGAGACACGCTGATGGGACCTTTGGAAAGTCTCTGGGAGCAGGGCAGGGCTCTGGAGCCCTCTGGGGAAGCTACTGGAGGAAGGAAAGCCGAGAGGAGGCTAGGACCAGAGGGTCCAAGGGAGAAGACCAGGCCCAAAACTGTGTTCCTTGCCGCTGCTGGAGACTGGCAGGCTGGTAGGGGAGCGGCTGGAGGAGGAGGAGCTCTGGGGTTTGGCCTAGTAACTGGGTGGGGCCCTCCTAGTGCAGAGCAGGCCCCAGGGTAGATGGGCTCCTTAAGGCCTAGTAGATTTAGGCACAAAGGAAACGGAGAAGGTTAGAGAGAGTGCGATCACTCAGTCTGTTGTCCCTTTCTACATCTCTGCCTCCAGGTATCTGTCCCCCTCTGTCTCTCTGTCTCCTTTCTGTCTTTGTTCCTCTCTGCCTCTGTATCCATCTCTCTGGGTCTGTGTTCCTCTCTGTGGGTCTTTTGTCTTCCACTATACCTCAGGATCTCCCCCCAACCCCAAAATGTCTGTCTGTCTTTCAGATCCTGTTTGTCTCACCCCTTCCTCTCCTATCTGTGAACCAGCCTGAGGCTAAAGGTCTTTAGGCTGAGGTATGAAATCTGGTGAATGTGTAACTCAGACCCCATTGTGGCAGTGTGCCTGGAGCAACTGCTCCTCCCCCAGGGACTATGTCCAGAGACACCGAGATGTCAGCCAGATAAGACAGCAGTGAGGGGAGACTGAGTCACCCACCCAGAGAGGGAGCAAAATGGCCACAGGCAGCAGCCCAAGGAAAACATCAAAGGAATAAGAAGACTGTAAGACTTGGAGACAAAGAAGCTTCCAGGTGGCACTTTGGGGAAGGGGGCCAGACTTGAGTCAGAGCTAGTCAGGCCTAGTTCCCAGGGGCCCAGCCCCAGGGCAGCCCGCCTACCGAGAGATGAGGTCAGCTAGTAGCCCCACCCCCCCTTCTGCAGAGCCCCTTCCTGAGCTGAGTTCAGCATGACTCAGCACTGCTGCTCTCCTGGCCACTGGCCCAGACACCCCTGGAGGACCCCAGACACCAACCTGGCCCTGCATCTCCCTAGTCACAGGGCACCCTGTCTGGGCTGCTTGGTGTGGCTCCACTGCGGAGCGCCCTGACCCTTCAACCTGCCTGCAGCCTCCATTAGGGCACTTAAACCTCAAGTTCCTTTCCTTTCCTTTCCCACCACAACAAGGTTCTCCTTGAAGGCTGAGTACTCATTTGAGCCAGCTCCACCTCCCAGACACCAGCCTGGACCTGGCACAGTTTAAAAACGTACTTTGGCCGAAGGCAGACTTCCCATCCACAGGTCCCCGGAACCCAGGGTTTCTCTCTGTGACTTAGGAGCATGGGTCAGGCAAGGCAGGGACAACTTCAGATAGACTGCTTCAGAGCCAGAGAGAATTCCCAGCGTCTGCGGCTACCTTCAAAACACTCTCCAGGAAATGCAGCCTCAGAGAGGCCTCAAAGCTCATGTGACATTTCACCCCACCCCATCTCAACTCCCAGAAAAACAATGCACCCCTGAAACAGCCCCAAGGTATTCCAAGCGTCCCAGACTCACTCTCAAGTGCTCTCCTAGACCCCCTACCTCTGAAAAAAGCCCCAACCTACTAGGCTTCCAAAAACGCTCCTTCTCCCCCACTCCTGGGGTGAACCCCAAGGCTCTAGAACAACTAACTGCCCTTTTAATCTTGCAGATCATCTCAGGAGTCTATAGACTTTCCCCAGGAAGTGTCCAATAAAATAAGGACTTCCATTGTGAACATTAAGGTTGAACAAAACAAAACAACAAAAACGTAGCCCCACCCCTGAGTGAACCCCAGGGCTCCCCTCCAACCCATCTTCTAGAGAGGTCCCAAGTTCCAGAAATTCCATCTGTCTTCCAAACTTCCCAATGATCTGGGGACCCCTCAGTTCCCAAAACCAACCCCAGTAATCTGGAGGCCTCTGCACCTCTGAGGAACCCCCAAGGCTCCAGAAAAGTCCATGCTCTCGAAGAGAACCCCAGAATGCAACCTACTTTCCTGAGACACTCCCAGGACCACAGGTTTATTATTTTCCAGGGGCCCCAGTGTCCCCACTAATCTTCCACCTACCAGAGACCTCCATAATCCCTTCAATACCCCAAATCAGCCCCAGTCCCCTGCACTCCCTTTCCCTCCCCTCTCCCTCCCCTCAATTCCCCATTTCACAATTGCCTGAAGCTCCAGGCGCGTGACTTCTCCACCTCCCAGGCGGGGTCTGGATTCTGATCTGCTCTGGATTGGTCACTCGCGCTCCAGGCCCTGCCTATCACCACTGTGGATTGGCCAATTGCTCTCACCGAACGCCCCACCTCCAGGGGCCCCGCGCTATAAAAGCTGCTGCCCGGCCATCGCCTTGCGCAGTGCCCTCGGTGTCCCCCGGATCTGTCTCTTGCTTCAACAGTGTTTGGACGGAACAGACCCAGGGACACCCCCTCTTCCAGCCTCTAACCACCTTCCAACAACCTCTTCTTCAAGCACCAACTTCGGAACCGCCTCAGCCTCCGAGACCAGCCCACACCGTTGTCTGACCTTAACGCCTTACTGCGGAACCACCATGAGCTCCCAAATCCGTCAGAACTATTCCACCGAGGTGGAGGCTGCGGTCAACCGCCTGGCCAACCTGCATCTGCGGGCCTCCTACACCTACCTCTCTCTGGTAAGGCTCCCCGGCCCCCCCGGGCCCGTTTCCCCCAGTTGCGCACCTCTGGCCTGCGGGCGCGCTGGCCCTTTGTTCTGCTGCGTAGTCGGAGGGCGGAGCCTGCGCGCCTGGCCTACGTCCCGCTAACCCCGTTCCCGCCATCTCTTCCCGCAGGGCTTCTATTTCGACCGGGACGATGTGGCCCTGGAGGGCGTGAGCCACTTCTTCCGCGAGCTGGCGGAGAAGAAGCGCGAGGGCGCTGAGCATCTCTTAAAGCTGCAAAACCAGCGCGGTGGCCGCGTTCTCTTCCAGGATGTGGTGGTAAGGAGTGTGAGGGCCTGTGGACTACGTCTCCCAGCAGCCCCTGCGCCGGGCCGCCTGGATGCCTAGTGCTTTAGGCACCTCCAGGGATTTGGGGGAGATTTCAGACCCGGTGGGTACTTAAGTTGTGGTCAGAAATGCAGGCGCGGCCAGTTCCGAGACCGCAGAATGGTCTGGGACGTGTAGTCTTAGGAGACTTGGAATGCTAGCGGCTCTTAGACGAGGCCCTTTACCCCTGCAACTGGTGGAGAGGGTAGTTTTTAGTTCTCTGTGGGTTATGTGGCCAGTTCTGAGCCGTCTCTGTCTTATGTGTAGAAGCCTTCCCATGATGAATGGGGCAAAACTCAGGACGCCATGGAAGCCGCTTTGGCCTTGGAGAAGAACCTGAACCAAGCCCTTTTGGATCTGCATGCCCTGGGTTCTACTCGTACAGACCCTCATGTAAGTATCCCCTTTATCCATGTCTGCCCATCGTAAGACCTTCCCTGGCATGAAGCTTATATTCTGAGCCTTGGCCTCACTTGGGCAAATTCCCTTCTGAAAATTGTTCCCCCACCTGTCACACTGTGTTATCTACAAGTGGCAGCATTTTGTCTTCTTCTATCGCTCAGCTCTGTGACTTCCTGGAGAACCACTTCCTGGAGGAGGAGGTGAAACTCATCAAGAAGATGGGCGACCACCTGACTAACCTCCGCAGGCTGGCTGGCCCCCAGGCTGGGCTGGGCGAGTATCTCTTCGAAAGGCTCACCCTCAAGCACGACTAGGAGCCTTTGGAGCCCAGAGGTCTTTGAGGGGCCCCTTTGCATTCCCCTGGTGTCTGGCTTTTGCCTGAGCCTCTCCCTGAAACCACTAGCCATTCCTTTTACCACCCTGGAGCCCTCTCCCATGCCTTGGACCAAATGGAAACAATAAAGCTTTTTGCAGCAGCTGGTGGTCTTGTGTGTGTGCTGAGGTGGGATCTATTTCCATAAGGCTAACTTTACTGGGCTGTCAGGGAAAGAGGAGTTGGACCCACCTGTTCTAAGGGGTGATCTCACCTGGGGTGTGTTGCTGTAGCGGTTCTCTGCTTTGCAAGACAAATTGCCCCACGTAGATGGTGGAGCCCAGACTCCAGGGAGGGTCTGGTTTACTGAGACCTGGGGTGGGTGGCTGAAAGCAGACACTGTTAGAAATATCAGACAGTAACCATACCCTTTTAGTGTGTTACCAAGTACTGTGCCAAACAGTCTGGCTCTATCCGAGGAAGTCTAGAACCATTTACATGGGTGAGTTGAAGATCTTACTATGTAAATTGCCCATGGCAACTAGAAGGCACACCTCAGATGTGACCTGCTCCAGAGGCTGCTTGCTACCTCTTCTCCAAGAGAAAGATGAGTCCAAAGGGCTGGGAGCATGTGATATGCACAAGATGCTGAGCCAGAGATTGGGGCCACAGAAACTGGGAAGTGAAACAGGCTAAGTCATCCAGATGGGAACTGAAGATGCTTGAAGATGGGTTCCAGTTACATAATGATGTAAACACTGACCCTCTACCCTTTCCTGAATCTAAGAGGAAGTGACTGCTGGAAACCTGTTCTTTTGTCTACCCAGCACCATACTCCTCGTGCCACCCCACTTTGATGATGACTGGCAATTCTGATGTGGGAGGGGCTTATGTGTCTGTCACAAACACAGTGGCTAACAGGAAGGATGATCACACATCTAAATCCAACCATCGGAGCTTTTTACTCCCCTGAAAAGCAATTGGTTCAGAGATGCACCTATAACCTAGTAAAGACAACTGAAAGGAAAAATATTTTTCCTGAAAACAGAGTTCTCCAGGGGACGACATGGTCAAAGACCAAAGGCCACAGAGCCCTGGAAACATGCTCTGAGCTAGCACTATCCATTAGAACTTTTTACAATGATGAAAATGCTCTATCTGCACCGTCCAAAAGGACAGCCCTGAGCCACACGTGGCTACCTGTGGCTACTGAGCACTTGCTTATTGCTAGTGCTGAGGAATTTAAAGAACCACAGACTTGTGATTTCCCTTTGGATCTGTTATCAGTGACAAAGCCCCTTTCTGTCCAAGTTTTTTCTATTTGCAAGTTAGGTCCCAACTAAACAAGACAGAGGTGCCTTCCTTTGAAAGAACACTGGAACCCAGAGTAGCAATTCAAGTCTCTCCATGAGAGCAGAATGAGACAAGGAATCATGGGGTGTTCAGGGGGAGAAATAGAGGTAGGAGAAAAAGGGTGAAGGCCAAGAAGAGGGAAGAGCCAGGTGAGAGGCCTACCAAACCCTCACGTTGGACCAGACCTGGAATCTTAAATATAGATGTATTTTTCACCTCCACACACACTTCAATCATACCCCTTCTGCCCCCACTCCCAATGGCAAATCAAGTGCATCAGACACAGCACAGCACACGTGAGGGGCACCTCCCTTACGCCAAAGCTGGGGACAGCACAGCTTGGGGATAGAAGAGCCTCGAGGTAAAAATGGAAGTTCTAGAACCCAGTGGGCTCAGTTTCTAGACCAGGATGCAGCATAGTGGTAAGGTTCTAGATTCAGCAGCCAGGAACTAGAACCCAGTGGTTTCATGGTGGGCCTGGCAGTTGGGGGTTTCAAGACAGCCAGTTCTGTCCTCAGCTGGAGGACTCCCTGGAGGGCACAGAAAAAGTCTTGAGATATTGGGGAGAACTCAGACTCAGGGAAGGAGTAGTTTCTGGTCCAGAAAAGGCCAGAAAGGCATCTAGACCAAGACTGCATCTTCTCCAGTAGCAATGAGAAGCCAAGTGGTTCTGCTCCCCTTTGCTTGGTTAAAGTGTAGAGGAAGAGGGGCCTAGGGGTGGAGGGACCCTCCAGGCAAAACCGGAGACCACAGGGAGGGCCAGAACAGAGTAAACACACAAGTGCCCTGTCCTGGAGCCAGAGTTGTGGAGTTGAAATGGAGGACCTTCTGCATTCAGTTAACTCAAGTCCTTGACAGTGCTCCAGCTCTTCTTTGATTGTCCCATTAGCTGGGACACTGGTTTCCAGCATTAGTGGTCCCCGGGCCAGGCCTGAGCAGCGTGTGCTCAGTATGCTGTAGAATTTGCAAGCCACAAAGGGTTCTAGGAGCCCCGGCCTGGAAGGCAACAGGCCAGGTTTCCTTAAATCTCTGGCACCAGGACAGGGTAATGGCAGCTTCCTGGTCTCTGTGACTCAGGCCAGGCCTAGGAGACTCAAGGGCACAGATTGTGCATTCTGGAACCCAAGAAAGGCACGGCGTTGTGGATTCTGGAGTGTTGGGGATTCCAAGAGCAGAGCTGGAGGGACTGGAGTGTATGGCGGAGGGTGCCGGGCTGTGGACCCCACAGACGCTGGGATCTCGAGTGGGGTGTAGGAACAGCGCCCGTCTGCATCTATCCTCTGGATGAGGGGGGCAGCGGGGCGGGCGGGGAGTGTAGGGCGGGGTCTTAGTTGCGCTCTTCGCCCAGGGAGCTGGCGGGGCTGAGGGGCTCGCTGGGGGTGCTGACCGAGCTAGAGGGCGCTGTGTCCAGGGAGCTGCGCTTGCTCCCGCCCGAAGAGGTGTAGGAGGCGCGGCGCGGCCACTCGGGGGCACGGATGTTGCGCCGGTCCTTGGCGGCCTCCTTTTCCTCGTCGTAACGCTCGCCTTCTTCATTAGGCGTATGGTCCTGGGGATCCTCCTCCTCGTCCTCACTCAGGTGCGGGCTCGAGTGTCGAGACAGCGAGGGTGACGGCGGCACCGAGGCCGGCCGTGGGTAGCGGTAGCCCTGGGTCTGTGTGCCCGGATGTGAGCACAAAATGCCAAGTGAACAGAGGCCCCTGGTCTAGCCCAGGCATCCATCGCCCCCTAGGCCTTCTGACTCCAGGAGGGCACCCTCCACCCGCAGCCCAGCCCTCTAGCTCCTGGCCCACAAGGGGGACACTGGGCCAACTCACCGTGTCAGTCTCATGCGGCTCGTAGGTGAAGTGTTCTGGAAAGGCCTTGGCCAGTGCCATGTGGCGCGCAGACATATAGTACTTGGGGAAAGAGAAGGGATGAGGGCATGAGGGGTGGGGGCTCCTGGCAGAAGTGGAGGGGAGTGAACCCTGGCCACACCTTCTATGGCAATGAGCACTAGTCCTCTGGGGCTTAGGGCCTAAGCCAACGATTTTCAACCCATGTGCTACCAGAATTTTTAAAACATGCAACATCTGGCTGTTTAGTCAGGGGGCTCTGGCCTCTTTTCCCTTCGACTGTCAAATAAAAGAAAATAACAGCCAACACAACAGCAGCCATCTGTTGTAATGAATTAAAATTATACCCCTTGCCCTGGCAGATTTGGCTCAGCTGTTAGAGCATCGGCCTGAGGAGTCGTAGGTTTGATTCCTGGTCAAGGGCATGGGCCTGGACTGCAGGTTCAATCCTGGGCCCTAGTCAGAGTAGGTGGGGGAGGCAACCTCTGGATAGACGTATCGATGTTTCTCTCTGTCTCTTTCCTTTTCCCTCTCTCCTTCCACTCTATCTAAAAATCCTTGGAAAAATATCCTCCGGTAAAGATTAACAACAACAAAAAATTATACTTTTGGGGGGGGTCAGACGGGCAAAAGTATTTTTTTGATGTGCCACATAATTTTAGTAATTAGTTTAAGTGTGCTATGAGATGAAAAAGGTAGAAAATTGCGGGCTTAAGCCAATTACTTATTTTTCTGGCTCCACCCCTTATGTAGATAGCAGAGCTGTGAATGGACAGTCTGGGAGTCAGGTTTCTTTGACCGCACCATTATGCAAATAGGAGAACTTTGGGCCAATGGGGTCTTCCTGCAAAAGTTGATTAATTTCTTAAAGGGACAGCAACCTTTATAAGTAGGAGGAGACCAGCTGCCCCTGCACTGGCCTTTGAGACCGAATCAGAGACCCAGAATTAGAAGCGGCTAATTAACCAGCCCAGCATTGGAAAGGGAGTTTATACCCGGCCTAAGTATTTCCAGTCCAGAAGATCGGAGAGGCGCTCGGTGCGGTTCCGCTGGATGATGCGCTGACGCCGGCTCTGCTGGCAGAAGCTGTAGAGGAAGGAGGTGAGCTGCGAGCAGGAATCGTCCAGGCTGCGGAACCGCCGGTCCAGAATGTAGATACCTGTGGGGGCCAGGACTGGGACTCAGAAAACAGATTGGGGAAAAAGGTTCTTCCTTCTCCCCGGGTCTCTGCGACACCCAGACCCCTCCTCCCCAGGATCCAAGACCTGCTGACCATATGCTGAGGGATCTGCGATGTGTTCCTCCATGAAGCAGCCGAAGCCCGAGAGGTTGGTGGAAATACTGGGGATGCCCATAACCGTGCACTCAGCTGCAGGAAGGCGTGAGAAAGACGGCACTTAGCTTTCACCTCTTACCCAACTTAAATCTCAATAAAAGCCTCAAGTGCTGGGCACTATACTGAACAAGTCCGGAGCTGGAAAACCCAGGCTGTACCTTACACTATTCAAGTCCCTATTTCTTAGAGGAGAAGCTGAGAGGCTCAGAAAAAGAAATTCACTTGCCTCAAGGCCTCAGAATAAGGAAGTCTATAGCTGAGCGGTAAGGTTGTTAATTTATTGAGTTCTGAGTCATTGTCTGCCATTCTACTTTACCCTCACAACCTATAAGATACTTTCTTGTGGCAGCCCATACTGTTTTGGTTATTATAGCTTCAGAGTCTGTTTAGACAGGAGGTAAAAAAAGGCCCATCATTATTACTATTGCTGTGCACTTACTATGCTTTGTTTACTACCTTAAACAGTGCTGAGAAATGGTTCGAGTTTATTATAATTCTTATATAATGTCTCTAAAAACTTCTGTTAGGCTACAAAAGCAGACACTAAATATAACAGGACTTATGGGAAATATAGGGTAGGGGCCAACCTGACAAAACCTATGTACCATTTTAACCTAATTATCATGCAAGCTTAAAAGACTTGTTAGCCCTGGCCGGTTTGGCTCAGCGGTTGGAGTGTCGACCTGCTGTACAGAGAGACCCGGGTTCGGGTTCCCGCTAAGGGCATGTACCTCGGTTGCAGTTTGTCCCCAGCCCTGGTTGGTCGTGCGGGTGGCAGCCACTTGATGTGTCTCTTTCACATCGATGTTTCTCTCTCTCTTCCTCTCTCTCCCTCCCACTCTATCTGAACAAAAAATGGAAAAATGTCCTCCGGTGAGGATAAAAAAATTAAAAAAAAAAAAAAGACTTGTTAAATTACTCATAAATTGTACTAATTTACTTACTATAGCAAATATGGTATTTATTTAGCCTTAAAAACATGAAAGTAGTCTGAAAAGAGTATGAGAAGGGTTGAGCTTGGGAAGACCACAGCAAAATGGCCCAAAATGAGGGAGAATTGCAAATAAGCTGTTTCAACTTGGAGCCTGTGCCCTAAAGGAGCCAAGAGGTGGAAGGTGGAGCTGATGGGTCCTGGGGACAGCTCAGGGAGACTTTGTCACATGCATTTGTGTTAGTGAACTGTGCATTAAGCTGTTGTTATTTGCAGGGAGGGACAAACGTCAGCAAACTGGGGGAAATCACATGTGAACTGTGACATGAGTCCTCCAGTTACACATCACATGAGCTACTGTATCACAGAGGCACACGCTGTAGCGGAACAGACTGTTGACACTGCCCCTGTTTTGCAACAGGGCTTGGGGCTCAGAGAGGGCAACTGTCTTGTCCCAGGATCATACCTGATCTGACAGAACCCAATGTCCTGCCACACTCACCTGGTGTGTAGCCCCAAGGCTCATAGTAGGAGGGAAAGACCCCAAGGTGGCAGCCACGGACAAACTCCTCATAGTCCACAGGCAGCAGGGGACTCGTGGAGGAGAGGAACTCCGGGTGGAAAATAATCTGGCAGTGAAAAAGAAAGGCTCAGCCCGAGACACCCTATTTAGCTACTGCCTGGCATCCCGGAGTGGCTCAGAGAGGGTGAAAAACTTGTCTTAAGTCACACAGATCAGTGGCAGGACAAAGATTTAAATCCAAGTCTGCCTGCCTACAAAGCTAAGGTTCTGTTCAGACATAGCAATCCTTTGATAAATTAGGTAAGATGGAGAATGCGAGGCCCAGACTCCCCCCACCCTCCTGCCATGCCCAACCCACTCTGCCCAGTGCCCTCACCTTGACCCTGTCAGCACTGCTATTGAAGAGGCCAATTCGGCGGATGGTGGTCAGGATAGGGTCTGAGGAGTCATCCAGCATATTGTGGGTGCACACGGGAGGGAAAGACTGCCGCTGTAGGGGCCACAAGGGGGGTGGGGGTCAGGGAAGGGACATGCTGAACTTGGGAATCCAAGGAGACTATAATTCCCACCAGGCTGTGGGGCAACAAGCCCAAGAGATTACCAGGAGTTATAGACCACCACAAGCTAAAAATAAACTACAATTCCCAGCTGCCTTTGGGGTAGAGCCAGCAGTAACAAGCCCCACAGACAACAGGGAGTTATAGCTATTTTGTCCTATATTCTTGGCTCTATCATCAAATAGAGTCAAAGAAACTTCTCCAGTGTATTGGGAGGGTGAGGGCTGGAAGTTGCAGTTTTCTTATGAAAATCCTAGATTTCTTTCTCTCTAAGTTCTCTTTACTCTCCATTCTATAATTCCCTCCACTTCCACCCCCAACAGAGGCCCAAAGAAACCACAATTCCCCAAATGGGTATTCTCACTGAATTCTTCCTTCAACTCACCTTGGAGGATAGAGCTAGTGTGACAAAAGTCCCAGGGGGAAGGGCTGCTGAGATGTTCGGCTTTTTGTAAGTATTCTATTATTTCTCTCTTTGTTGATTTTTTTTTTTTTTTTTTAGAAAGGAAGGGAGAGGGAGAGAGAGATAGAGAACATTAATTGGCTGCCTCCTGCCTCCTCCAATCCCACTGGGGATTTGGCCCATAACCTGGGCATGTGCCCTTACCAGGAATCGAACCAGTGACCTCTTAGTGTATGGGTCAACACTCAAACACTGAGCCACACTAGCTGGGCCATCATTTTTCTCATTAAGAGTTCTATACACACACACACACACACACACACAAAAAGAGTTCTATACACCTTCAGTCTAGTGATTCCAGCAAAGCAAGAAACTACAACTCCCAGCAGCCCCATGGAAGAAACATGTTCAGTAAGGCAGACTGCCTTAGGGACTATTGGCAATTATTTGACCAAAAACAATGTATACCTTGTTTGTCTAGGTTTCCATTCCCCAGGAAATGATTCACCAACACTGACCAAAGACCCTTGACTCCAGAGAATAAAAGAACTTTAACTCCCAGAAGTCTCTGGGGCAACAGAAAGACCCAAGGGTTGCTGGACATTTGGTGTCTGACAATTTTCTGAAACAGCAGCTACTGAGTTTTCAATGTTCTTCAGGGAATGATAAGAATTTTAGCAAACCTCCTGACTAGCCCTAAAGAAGCCAAAAAAAACTACCACTCCTAGCAGTCTATGGGGGCAGAGGTGAAGCTGGTATGCAGCAAGGCTTCAGGACAGCTGGAAGTGCAGGCCTCCTTCTGTGGCTGTCTTTATTTATGTTCCCTTTCCCCTACTGTCCACTGATCATGGGGATGCAAAGAAACTACAACTCCCAGCAGCCTCTGTGGTAGAATAAGCCAAGAGAAAGCAGGCTGCCTTACTGGCTTCTGGGAACTGAAGTTCCATCACTCAGCTCACACCCTTTTGTGAACCTCAGAACTGATTCCCTGGTAATGCCCAATAAAGCAGAACTCCCAGCAATCTCTGGGGTCAGAGTAACATGGCAAGCTGCCTCCGGGGCTGTTGGGAACTGCCATTCTTCTGCTCAGGGATGCAAACCGTACCTGCGTGGCAAAGATGGCTCTCTTCATCATAGTGAAGTCCTCCTTGTCCAGCATCTTGTTCATGTCCGGAAGGCTCCCCCTGCAGGGAGAGCAGGGGTATGCATCTGAGAAGGGGTGAAAGAGGGGTTAGGACCCAGACCCATGCAGGGCTGAGGGTGGGGCACTCACACCAACAAGGATTCATAAAGCTTCCTTCCAAACTTCTCCTTCACTGTGTTGGCCGTATCCCTGGAAAGAACAGAACAACATAACATATACACCAGCCATTTATTGTTAGGCTTCTGGGGCAGCCGGGAACCTGAGGACTGGGCAGAGAAACCCTGGGGACTTTGGGTTGGAGGTTGGGGACCCAGGGATCAGGCCCTGGAAGGCTCGGATCCCTTGTGCAGCGGTGTGGCCAGAGATAGGTGGTCTTCCCTCTCTGATTTCACTGACTTACCAGTCAGCTGGAGATAAAAATAGAATCAACCTCAGAAGTTTGCAGTGAGGACTTGATGAGGTCATGACAAAAAGTGCCCAGTGCCCAGCACACATTGAGCCTTCCAGAAATGTCAGCTATTATTAGAACCTGTACTAGTTTTGGCAGTCCATGCAAGCCCCATTTTATAAAAAGGGGAAGTTATGTTGAGAGAAGAAAATTTTAGGTATACAAACAAAACCAGCACATAGTGCCACCCTACAGCCCCATTGACACCCCTCTGCTCATAATCTTCCCATAGTTCTGGCCTCATTTCTATGCTTTTGGCCTAGGGCACTCTAGTCCAGCCCCACTGGTCTCCTCACTGTTTCTCATACATACCTCAGGGCCTTTGCACTTGCTCTTTCCTCTGCTGCTCCCCAGATACACACGGGGTTTCCTCCCTCATTTCCTCTATTGAGCTCTACATAATGGCACATCCTCAGTGTGGCCTGTCCTGACAAACCTGTCTCATATTCCTGTGCTTTTTTTTTTTTTCCAGAATACTTTCTATTGAATTTTCTAGAAAATGAGCTCAGTGAAGGCAGGGCTTTTTATCTTTTTTGTTCACAGCTGTGTTCCCAGAGCCTGGAACAGTGCCAGGCACACAGTAGGTGCTCAATGAACATGTGATGGCTAATGACTGGGCTTTACAAATGAGGAAACTGAGGCTCAGAGAGGGGTAGTGGTTTGTCTAAAGTCAGAAAGCCAGCAAGGGTCAGTGGCATGAGTGAGACCTCACTGGACTATTACAGAGCCCTGGTCATAATGTCACACTTGTCCCGCCTGTGACTTCTAACTGCCCCTGAGTGGAGGTGTCTTAAGCAAGTGACTTCACTAGGAAAGTCGGTGGGGCAGGTTGATCATGTTACAGATGACAAAACTGCGATTCCAGGAGAAACACTGGACCCCAAGCACACAGCTGGGATCCTGAGCCAAGGGCTGCTGACCAAAGCTGCTTGCGCACGGCTTGGCCTTTGAGGGTTTCCACATTGAAATTGTTGGTCCGAGCTGGCATGATGAAGAAGGCAACCACCGTCTGCTCACTGCTGTTGACCTGGGACCGAGGAAAGGGGGGAGGTCAGGATGACAGGAGAGGCTGAGGTCACCTACCCTTTTCTACCCACCAAGATAACTAGGACCCTGCTATGCCCCTTCTTGTTGAGAAGAACTATAGGCCCCTCTGGTGTGGCTCAGTTGGTTGGGCATCGTCCCATGCGCCAGGACTGGATTCCCGTCAGGGCACATGCCCGGGTTTCAGACTCAATCCCCAGTAGGGGGTGCGCGGGAGGCAGCCGATCAATGTTTCTTTCTCAAGGATGTTACTATCTCTCTCTCCCTCTGCCTCCTTCTCTCTGAAATCAATAAAAACATACTTTAAAAAAAGAAGAGCCCTGGCCAGTTTGGCTCAGCGGTTAAAGCGTCGGCCTGCGGTCCTGAGAGACCCGGGTTCGGTTCCCGCTAAGGGCACGTACCTCGGTTGCAGTTTGTCCCCGGCCCTGGTCGGTTGTGCGGGTGGCAGCCACTCGATGTGTCCCTTTCACATCGATGTTTCTCTCTCTCTCTCTGTTCCTCCCCCCCCAACCCCCCACCCCGCTCTACCTGAACAAAAAATGGAAAAATGTCCTCGGGTGAGGATAAAAAAATAAATAAATAAAATAAAAAATAAAAAAAGAAGAATTATAGGACAGCCCAGCCAGTGTGGCTCAGTGGTTGAGTGTCAACCCATGTACCAAGAAGTTACCAGTTTGATTCCCAGTCAGGGCACATGCCCAAGTTATGGGCCTGATCCCCAGTGGGGGGCATGCAGGAGGCGGCCAATCGATGTTCTCTCTCATCGAAGTTTCTGTATCTCTCTCCCTTTCTCTTGCTCTAAAATCAATAAAGGAAAGGGAAAAAAAAAGAATTCTAGGACAGTTACCATCCCCACTGGGACTACATCTTCTTTCTGGGTCTCTATACTCCCCCTTGACACAGGGAATTCCCTACTACCACTGCCCTGGGTCTCTGTTCTGGCCAGCATGTACTAATTTTCTTGTCCTCCCTCTGTCCCCTTGCAGCCCAGGACTTACTCTGAGCAGATAGTTGAGCCGGGCCAAGGCCTCTAGGAAGACGTCGGCCCCCTTGTTGGAGAACTCGTAGCGGCCGGCAATAAAGAAGTACAAAGTCTTGTCCAAGTTGAAGTCCAGGTGCCTACAGAAGCCAAAAGGCAGGGTGAAACTGAGATCCTCACCCCTCCAGTCCTGGCCTCAAAATTACAAACCCTAGCAGCTGCAGGGGCAAAGAACATCAAAGATGGTATGGAGGCATCATGGAGACTCCTGAGATTTGTGGTTCTTTTCTCATTAAATGGGATCTAAGACCCTTCAATACTCAGCCACTGTTCTGGCACTCAGGAACTCAAGAGGCTGAGCTCCCAATCCCTCCTCTCTCGAGACCTAAGTGTCTGGCCCACATACCCATAAAAATGGCCCCGCACAAACTCCTGGATTCGGGCCTTGCTCTGAGCATGGAGGTTCTGGAACTCATGCATGGCAGAGAACTTCTTCACATTCAGTCCATTGGGCGTCACGATATCTGGGAATGAGAGAGAAGGTCCCAAGTTTCATTTCGTCATTCAGATCAATGTGGTTGAATGAATAATAGAAGGAAAGACCCCTTTCCTTTCACAATTTCTTTATTTCAGTAGCTCTTTTGTGAGTTCCCTCGGTGACCCAGCTGCCTTGCCACTCAGATGCCTTCTTGCCCAATAACTACAACTCCCATCAGCCCCTGCAAATGGCTAACCAAACTGGGAACTAATCTACATTGGGACTTGTGAAAGTTGTAGTTCTTTTGTTTGCCCTATACTACTCTGAGCTGGAAATGATTGAACATCTCATCCTGCTTCTCCCAGAATATACTCTCTACAACCAAGCCTCTTTTAGGGTCCCAACTATTTCCTACCCTCACCAAAATTAAAGCACATCATTGGAAAACTACAACCCTCATCAGCTCCTGGGACGAAATTCTGGTAAGGAGCTGATCAGCCGAAGGCCTTCTGGAAGCTGTATTTCTCACCTTACATCCATTGAGAACTGATTCTATAGTCTGGGGAAAATAGTACAGCTTTTCTCAAAAACAGAATCCAATGAACCTCCATCCCCTTTCAGAAAACCAATTAGCCTCTAGGATATACAGGTCACCTCATACTCAGGTGACCAGCCTAGGGCCTTCTGGGAGTTGTAGTTCTCTGCTCTTTAGAGTAAAAAAAATTTATATGGGCCTTGGCATAGATAACCAACTACCTCATTCATGTCTAGGGACCCCAGCCTATCACCTACCTGGTTTCCTCTTGAGTAGGTGCTGAGCCTCAATGGCAGTGATCTGGGACACAGTAGTGAAGACATGAGCGCAGTGGGCTGCTGCCCGCTCCATGCAGTAGCGGTGATAGATTTGCCTCTCACCTGCCTCCTTGTCCACATTGAACTTGGGGGGGGGGGGGGGGAGAAAGGGCAGTCAAGTTAAAATTGGGTAGAAGCCTGGAGGCCCAGACTCTAGGGTCCTGGGGAGGCTAGAGACTGGATTCCTGGGTCTGAGGGAGGAGGGCACTGGGGACTTCGGACTCCTGGGTCGTGAAGAGGGAGCTTCATCCCCTAGGGCTTTGCAGACAGCTTTGGGCTGCCCTGACATCCTGGCAGCCCCCACATCGCCACACTCCCAGCTTACGTTCTCCAGGTTGTTGTAGAAGTCCACGGCACCTGCACACAGGTATCGCCCCAGCAGCGTGGCGTGCGTGGTGAAGATCGTGGCCACAGGCAGCCGCCGGGCACGGCACAGGCAGAGCCCCACGCCGGCCAACCATTCGTGGAAGTGCGCAACCACGTGTGGCTTCTCCTCACTCTGGGCCAGGAACTGTGGGGCAACAGGGATAGGGCCACTGTGTCTCTAGTGTGTTGTGAAGACAATTAGCAATCCCCAATGTGGATGAGGAAGCAGGGGAGAGGTAGATCTATTACAACCATTACACAGAGCAAACGGTGGCCCACCGCAATCCCCAGAAGACAACAAACTATAAATGTGTGAGGCAACCAGACCAGCTGACCTCATCCCTGGAGGATGATGAGAGTTGGGGTTATTATGGTCAATCTTCTAAGTCCCAGCAAGGCTGAATTGGAAAGACTGAAGTTTTAGTGTCCGCAAGTCCCAGACATAATTCCCGGAGACCCTTTATCTTAATCATGAGTAGAACTGTGCACAATATTGGTTAATGGACTACAACTCCCAGAATGCCCTAGAAGCAGCCGGTCTAGAAATTGTTCATCCCAGGGCATGGGAAATAAAGTTTTGTGAGCCTTTTAAAATCTAAAAGGGCAAAATCTAAAACCAAGTTTCCTGGTTTTCAGATAGGCTGGCGTCTCCCAAACATCCAGGGCCCCACCTGAGAGCCAAGTCCAACCACTATTAGACTAGAAAACTACAACTCCCAGAATTCCCTGGGTGAGCTCTCCAGCCAGGCCAATCTCCCCAGGAGCTAATGGCTCAGAATTCCTAAACTTGGAAGGTTACAGCGAATAAAGCTGAGGCTGGGAGTTTGGGTCTCTGAGCTAAAAAAGAGTCTGGGTCCTTGTACGTTCATGTTCCCGAAGATAAGAGCTAACCCCTGGATTAGAGGACCTACAATTCCCAGAATGCCCTGGAAGAAACCTGTTCCCCTCTGCCCCCCTTCCCCCACCACACCCCTCTGGCCAGGGGCTGATGGCCATTGTAGTTGGGACCAGCAGTGGGGCGTACCTCACCCAGGAACCAAGTGGTGAGGAAGCCAAAAAGGACAGCGTCGTTGGCTTCGCGGTCGTACCAGGGCACCCCGATGTTGCAGGTGTCCCAGAGCTCCCCCTTCCAGCGCTCCAGGGCCCAGGCTGAGGCGCCTATATCCAGGAGTACCACCAGGGGGCCCCCTTCGATCAGCCAGCGTCCGAAATACACCTGGGAGACCCACAGGGAGGCTTAGGGCTTTAACCACCGTCTCTGGGCGCCGCGTCTGCGCTTCTCCCACCAGCAAGCAGATGTCTGGGCTCACTGCCTCAGTCCTTGCACCCTGTGTCTGCATCTGCTGCTAATTTCTCACCCGCTGCCCTATATCTCTATTTGCTGTTCCTTATTCCCAACACAATCTTCTTGTTTTTGTTTGTTTTTAATCTTTTCGCAAGGCAGAAAGGGAGAGGGAGAGAGGGAGGCAGGGACAGAGACATGGATAGGTTGCCTCCCATTTGCGCCCTGTATGGGACAGAACCTGAAAGCTAGGCATGTGCCCCGACTGGGAATCAAACTCACGACCTTTCTGTGCACGGGATGACGCTCCAACCAACCGAGCCACATTAGCCGGGGCCAACCACAATCTTTTCCCATCTCTGTTGCAACATTTTTTCCTGTCCCTTGCTTAGCTTCTGTAACTGCTGCTCTCTCCCAACCGCTGCCTCTTCTCTATCTCTGACCACACATTTCGCAGTCATGTCCGTGCCCCGCTGTCTCGTTTAGGTGCCCTGCAAATCATCATTCTGACCTGCTGTCTTGTTTTTGTTTGCTATCTCATTTCTCTCCTCAATCATCCTGGTGCTTTCTGCCACGATCGATCTTTTCTTTCTGCTGCTAACTCCTCCCACTGGATGCTTCTCTTACTGTTCTCTCCGCCACAGTTCTTCCACCCGCTGCCTTGTTTTGGAACCTTTCACCATCTACTTGTCACCTGCTGCCTCTTGTATTTTTATTTCTTGTTAATCCTCACCCGAGGATATTTTCGCCATGATTTTCAGAGAGGTGACAAGGGAGGGAGAGAGAAACATCGATGTGAGAGAGACACATCAATCGGTTGCCTCCTGCATGAGCCCCAACTGGGGTTGGGGATAGAGCCTGCAATCTAGGGTACAAGCCCTTGACCAGGAATCTAAGCCGAGACCCTCCAGTGATCGGGCCAATGCTAACCACTGAGCAACACTGGCCAGGGCTCCTGCTGCCTCTGTCCTCTGCAGCACATTTCTAATGCTACCCGCTTTCTTTTTTTTTTTTATCCTCACCCGAGGACATTTTTTGTTCAGGTAGAGTGGGAGGGAGAGAGAGAGAGAGAGAAACATCGATGTGAAAGGAACACATCGAGTGGCTGCCACCCGCACGACCAAACCAGGGCTGGGGACAAACTGCAACCGAGGTACGTGCCCTTAGCGGGAACCGAACCCGGGTCTCTCAAGACCGCAGGCCAACACTCTAACCGCTGAGCCAAACCGGCCAGGGCACTACCCGCTTTCTTTCCTGCCCCAGGGCTGCCCTTTTCTACCTACTGCCATGTTTCTAAGCCCTGCTGTCTCATTTGTGCCCCTGCCACATTTTTCTGGTCTGCTTCTCCTTCTGAGACCATGGCCTAGGTTCTGGGCCTACTGCCACAGCTCTGCCCAGCTGATGAGCAGTCACCCTCCTCCCCAACCTGGTTTTTCCCACCCTTGGGAGCCTAACCCTGATGCCCCTCCCCTCCCAGCTGTTGTCTGCCCTTTTGCTGGGGGGGGTGGGGGGTGGTGCAGTGCTATTCTTAGGCCCCCAGCACGTGGGGAACAGCTGCGATGGGGGGACGACTGAGCTGCTCTAGGGTTCCCTGGGGACACCTCTGGCGTGACTGAGCTCTAGACCCCACCCCAAACCAGAAGCTGTGAATGAATGAAGAAACCACTGTCGCTTTCCCTCCCAAGCCCCAACCTGTCTGCCCTTCAGTCCTCTGCCTCACAGTCCTCTCCTTGGGTGGCAGCCACCCCTCTGTGCTCATCCTTCCGCTCTCATCTGGAGTCCTGGGCTGCTCCCCTCCTCTCTTTTATCCCTGACTCTGCCCACCAAAATTCTGTTCCCTGACCTCTCCTCCCTTCAACAGTATTCCATCTTCCTGTCTCCTTCTAGGTCTTTTTCTCTAAAACATCAGGTTTCTTCTCTTCTGTATCTAGATTCTGTCTCTCTCCCTATTGCTCTAGTTCCTGGGGTGTTGGGGGAGCCACCATCATCCTTTGGGATGCTCAGTCTCTCTCCATCTATCTCTCTCCCTTGTCTGCCTGTCCACCTCATTCTGTAAGCTTGACTGTTTATAGTAATAATGATGATGATGATAATAATAACCACAACGATAATAGCTCACCCACAGTGTCAGCTTCATGCCAAGAACTGAGCTGCAGACTTTATTAACTACTTCATCCTCCTGCAATCCTATCAGGCAAATGCTGTTAGTCAAGGTCACGTGGACAGGAAGTGAAGAAGCCAAATTTGAACTTTAGGCTCTAGAACACCTCCTCTGGCTACCTGCCTCACTCCAAGCCCACCTCCCCTGGGTGGCTGTCTTTCTTTCCATCTAGCTTTTCTCTCTCTCTCTGGGTCTGAAGATATTGGCTTCTTGGAACCATCTTTTAGTCTGTCTTGTATCTGCTGTCTCTGTCTATTTTCCAATATCTTTTTTTTTTTTTCTTTATTGATTTTAGAGATAGAGGAAGGGGAAGGGAGAAGGAGAGAGAGATAGAAACATCAATGAGAGACAACATCGACTGGTTGCTTCCTGCATGCCTCCCACTGGGGATTTGGCCCACAACCTGGGCATGTGCCCTGACCAGAAATTAAACTGGCAACCTCTTGGTGCATGGGTGGATGCTCAACCACTGAGCCACAATGGCCAGGCTACCAATGTCTTAAAGCTTGGGGTACCCACCTACTTCATGGGGTCCTGCATCTGTCTAAGGGTCAATTGGCTGTGTCTGCCTGGGAAAGTACCAGGTCATCCCGTGTTTCTGTCCATGCCTCCCTCTCTCCCTGGGGCCGTGTCCCCCACCCCACCCCTTCCTCCATCTGCTGCTCCCCCCCTGACTGCAGGCACCCACCTCCCTGCCCTCAGTGGAGCCATTTCCCACCTTGCAGCCCTTGCTGTTCATGGAGTCCAGCGTCCTCTTCAGAGCTGGGGTTGGGGGCTCGAGCAGTTCCACCTGGGTCCTCACTCCCTGCTCCGTGTACGGTCCCACCAGGTAGTAGTTGTCGCCCCACTCATCTCCTGTCACCTTCGCCTTCGTCTGCAGCACCGTGTAGATGCCGCCCACTGTGGGGCCAAGCCCATGAGGACAGGCACCAGCTGAGGTTCATAGGTCTGGGCCCTGGGGCAGGGTGAGGGCCCATGGGAAGCGCTGGGGCCCCGGACTTCTGGCTTAGAGGGAAGAGGGGCCTGGGAGCCCATACATCAGAGTCAGAGGGAGGAGGAGATGGGGGCTGGAGGACAGTCTTCCTGGGTCTAAGAGAGAGGTGGGCTGAGGTTGGGGCTTTGAGGGAGGAAGGGGCTCAGGCTAGACTTCTGAGTCTGAGAGAAGGGGCAGGGGGCCTGAGGTCCTGGGTCTGAGGAAATTGGAGGATGGGGCCCCAAGGATGACAGAAAATGACAAGGATTACCAGGACCCAGATTCCTGAGTTCTCAACTTACAGGAGCCGGATTTAAATTCTCAATCAGGCTCTAGGGCCCTATTCAGCTTTCCACAGTTGCCCAAGAAAAGTTGGAATTGTCATTCCTTGCCCCCAGGGACTCTGCTGACCTGTCCCCCAGTCTTCCTCTCCCCAACTGGGGACACAGGCAGAGGGGACCCTCCCCTGCTAGGATTCCATTCCACACCTGGCTCCCCAGCTTCCTTACCTCCTGGAGCCTAGGCCCTGGTGATACATGGTTCTGTGTTCACAGGCCCCTCCCTTGGTGTAAGACTCAGTATCTTTCTCTCCCAAGATTCGGCTAAGTAAAAAAAAAAAACCCACCTCCCTCTCTTCTGAGGAGCAAGACTTCCTAGTTCATGGGGTTCCAGCCCCACCTGTTTCTCCACACCCAGAATCTCGGGCCCTCTAAAGCCCCAGACACAGAAATTTAGGGCCCCAGCCACTCCCATCCCAGGGCCCAGCCCCTGACCAACTTAGGACTTCGCAGCCTTCCCTCATTCCAGTATCCAAGTGTCGGTGGTTACAGGCTCCTCTACTTCCAGGAACCCATAGCTCAGGCCTTCACCTCCTTCCAAGCCTAGGGATTCAAGAGCCCAATTCTCCGCCACCCTAGGATCTAAGAATTAGGGCCTCCAGTCCCCTTCCATCTTTACTCTCAAGTGACCAGTTCCCCCATTCTGCCACCACCACTTATGCATTCTATTTTCCAGTCAGCTCTCTTCCAAATCCAGAGGGTCACAGGTCTGAAACTCAGCCATTTCCCAGGTTGGCACTAAGAAGTGCCAGAACACCCCCCAACCCCTCCCACCCCACCCCCACAATCTCTTTTCCTGTTCAGGACCCAGGTCTCCCAGAAACCTCCCTCCAGGACCTAGGAATCTCTCAGGTTAGCCTCTCTTCACTAGGACCCAGGACCGGAGTTTCCAGCCTACTGGTCAGGAGATTCATCTCCACCCCTCCAGGGCGCAGGAGATCTATCCCAGCCCCTCCCCAAGGACACAGGAGTCATAGGCTCCTTGCCCAGAACCCAGGAGGCATGCTGTGTAGCCCCGTCCCCCTATCACTCGAGTCCCCGGCCCCCATCCCCGACTGCTCTATTCGTCTGGGCCCCGCCGCTTGGCTTGCTCACCTTTGTTGGCCACCTCCCAGGCCACTTCGAAGAGCACTGTATTCTCCAGATTGAATTCATCCTCCCAATCTTCCAGTCCTGGCAGGGAGGACATGGACAAAGTGCGGTTTAGAGGCATGGCGGACGCGGGAAGGGAGTTCCAGGGGCCACGGGTGGGGGCTCCGGGGGTGTCTGCTAAATGCACCCGACGTGGGGCCAGGTAGCTGGTGCCCGAAGGAAAGCTTGCAACGCCCTCGGCTTCCTATTGCACGACCGCACCCCCGGACCTAGGCGGGAGGCGGCCGCAGCGTCACTGAGCCCTGTGGGGCCCCTGCAGTAAAACCCTGTGGCCGCCAGGAGGCGGCGCCCACCCCCTCTCCAGCGCTATTGGTCTGCTCCCGGAGGCGGGGTTCCCACGTCTCTCATTGGTGGACAGCGTAGGGCTCGCTCCGCCCATCGGCGATCGCTGCGCTCAGTGATTGGCCTTTCGCTCTGTCGATCCGAAGCTTGAGGCCCCTAAATTGCGGGGGGAGGGATGTGGGTGGAATAAGGAGGAAAGGAAGCGTGGGGGACGTGTGGTTGCTCACAGAAGTGGTAAGAATTTTGCAATCGGCCTCAGCAAGGAGGCTTGGGTAAAAGGAGGAGGAGCCAGGAGGCGTTGGGAACGGACCCAGGAGTTTCGGCCTAAAAAGTGACGACTTGCCCTACAAGGAGAGTCTGCATATTTATGAGGAACCACCGAGATCTTGGGAGGATCTGGCAGTCTAGAGAGGCCAGAACGCCTCGTACTTAGCACGTTTCCGTTTCCGTTAGGATATTAGCGGTTGGTGAGCATCATGGCAACCGTGGTAAGTGTCGGCGTGCGTAGGGCTGAGGAACGAACCCCCTTCTCCGGGGTCTGAGGGAGGAGGGGCTGGGGGCCCGGACTCCGGGGTCTGAGGGAGGAGGGAACTGGGATCCCTGGCTACTGGGAGGGAGGAGAAAAGAAAGGGCTAGGATCCCGGAATCGTGGGTTCCAGTGGATATTTACGATGTCAGTGGTCAGCGCTGATAGCACCTCCAACTTCCAGTTCTCTGGGCGCAATGGCCAGTTTTGCAGTCAGTGCCCTAAAGTCTGTTGCAGGCTCTAGTGTCTTGAGCCCCAAAGCATGTAGGAATCTTTGAGTTATGAATGGTGAGAATGGCACCTGGGAACAAGGGAGAAGGGCAGGCAGGATCTGTCCTGTGTGCTTGAGAGCATGGAGTCGCTTAGTGAATCTTGAGCCAAAGGAAGTGCTGAGAACCCAGAGGGTGTCAGTGGGGAAGGGAAAGGGCTCGAGCCCCCCTCCTATTTCCAACACCTCATGGGGCATGCTCAGTAATACAGTTTCACTTGAAATTTTGAATGAATGAATGAATGAGAACCCCCTAAAAGACCAGTTACACTGGGGCTAGCACCAAGTACTTGCTCAAGAAACATGTGAATGGAGAAGGGATGTGGTCTTAGCTTGGGGATTGGACTGGGCTTCCAGATGCCTGGGGTCCTATGGTGTCTCCAGTCAAGATGGGGGAAAGGCGAGGGCAAGAGTTACTGGTGCCTGGGGCACGAAATTTGAGTCTTGCTGTTTCCTGGGCAAGGGGGTGAATAGGAAAGCAGAAGCATAAAGGGCGGTGGGCATACTCCTGAGACTCAGTTCCCATGGGTGTGGATGAAGTTTTGGAAGTATGAGAGGCTGGTGGCTGCTGAGTTTGAAACCGACCTCTGTTTCCATGGTGTTAATGGACAGCAGGGGATCGGTCAGAGAGGCTTATGGTGAAAGGAAAGGCCTTCTAGGAGGTGGGCTATTTAGTTGGGATTGCTATGGGTTGGAATTCCTGGATCCATGTCCATTTTTGGCCTCAAGTAAAGTCTGATAGGCTGTGTAGGAGTATGTGGGGTTATGTTCTCAGTATTCTGATAGTGGTTTGGGGGCAGTGACCAGTGCTGTTGAGTTCCAGCCTCCTATTAGGAGAGAGTAAGTGGGAGGGGCCACAAAAAGCAAGAGAGGAGCCTTGTGACCATGTGGAAGTCAAGACATCTCAACTCTTGGTTCCAGAGACAAGAGGGTTCCCTTAGGTTGGATGCCTTCATCTCCTCTCATTCTGGTGGAAGAAGAAAGACTTACGGGAAGGAAGGGAGGGTTAGGGGCAGGTGTCTAAGGAGCTGGGTCAGCATGCTGGCATTTTTAGTTTCCTTTTCCTTATTAGAGATTATGAAATATTCCAAATAATATAATAAATACCCAGCGACCCATTACCCAGATTTTTTGAAACAGCTTTATTGAGATATCCCATACAGTGTATCCATTTAAAGCATGTAGTTCATTGGGTTTTAGGACATTCACAGAGTTCTACATTCTCTCAATTTTAGAACATTTTCATTACCCCAAAAGAAACCCCAGTCCTCTTAACTATCACCTTTCAGACCTCCCATCCCCCCAGCCCTAGGTGACCACTAATCCCCTTTCTGTCCCTACGGATTTGCCTATTCTGGACATTTCATATAAATGAAATCATATAATATGTGGTCCTTTGTGTCTGGCTTTGTTTACTCAGCATAATGTTTTCTAGGTTCGCCCATGTTGTATTATGGAACAGAACTTTGTTCCTTTTTATGGCGGAATAATATTCCATCATATGGCTATACCATGTTTTATTTCTTCGTTCATCAGTTGATAGCCATTTTGTGTTGTTTTCACCTTTTGATTATGAATAATGCCGTTATTAGCATTCAGGTGGATCTCCAGTGGGTTCTTAAATTGTCCCAGCTGCCACATGAGAAGGGGTGGTGGCTGGCTTCTCCTTGGAGAGCCAGGGACACAGGGAACCTTAGTACCTGCCTTTTGAATGAGCTCAGCACTTTAGTGCTTCATTCATTCAAACCCCAAACATTGAGCCCTGAGGAGAACAAATGAGGTGTGGGCTGTGCCCTTCATGGGACACATCCATTGGAAGCAAAAACATTGATCTACTCCCTCGTGAGATTACACAGGAAGACCGGACTCCCAAGGGAGGCCTTTCCTTCTATCTGGACATCCAGAAACCCTAGAACTAACTGACAGGAGCAGAGGTCAGGGAGGGCCTCCCTTAGTGAGCAAAGGTTGGTCTAATTCGGTGAGGGGGCCAGGAAGAGCAGGTTGGATTCAAGGACCTACATCTGCAAAAGCCTAGTGACTGAGCTGGGGCAACATGCGGTGCAAGGTGGGATGAGAAATCAGTGGGCCAGACCACACCCAGCTCGATGCCTGCTCTGATTACTGCCTGTCCTTACAGTTCCAGCGGGCGGAGAGCACTTCTTCCTTCACCAAAGAATCCTGGGCACCAAATATGTGCTAGGCCGTGGGGATGGGGCTGTGAATGAGACAGACATAGTCTTCCTCTTCCTGGGCCTCAGTGTAGTGGGGTCAACCAGCCAGTATGAGTTGGCAACAGCCGAGAGTGTGGGAGTAGCTGGTGTTGGGCTGTTGGCCTGCTCGTGGGGAGGAGTGGAAAGGACTTTCTCATGGGAGGTGGCAGGAGGGACAGAGGAGAAGTTGATGGAAACTGGGACAACAAGAACTCTTCTGATGCATCTTCCTCCACCCCCAGACGGCCACTACCAAGGTCCCAGAGATCCGTGATGTGACGAGGATCGAGCGTATTGGTGAGTGAGCATGAATCAGGAGCAGGACCAGACCCTGCCTGCCCTGTGCACCGCTGAAGAGCCAATCAACCCAGGACCCCCGAGGGGCATGCAGCCTGGGTACCATCCTCCTGTCTGATGGGGAGGGTCCTGAGTTCCAGAGAGGGGTCAGATGGCACATGGAGCACCATGCCGGACCCCAGTCCCAGGCTGCAAGCTTCTCTGCCCTGTGTACTGCTGGGTGTACTGCATCCTGCTTGGAAGTCACAGAAGTGGATATTTGCTGAGTGCTTACTGGGTTTGGCTCTGTGCTGAATGTCCCATACACCCAGCACACACTGGGACATTAGCTCCTTGAGGGCAGGGACCAGGCCTGGCTCATTCCCAGTTGTGTCCCCAGAACAGGACCTGGCAGAGAGATGTCAAAAGATAACCACTGAGCCCTGGCCAGTTTTGCTCAGTGGTTAGAACATCTACCTGCGGTCTGGAGAGACCCGGGTTCGGTTCCCGCTAAGGGCACGTACCTCCGTTGCAGTTTGTCCCCGGCCCTGGTTGGGTCGTGCAGGTGGCAGCAACTCGATGTGTCCCTTTCACGTCGATGTTTCTCTCTCTCTCTCTCTCTCTCTCTCTCTCTCTCTCTCTCTCTCTCTTTCTCTCTCTCCCTCTCTCCCTCCCACTCTACCTGAACAAAAAAATGGAAAAATGGCCCTGGCCAGTTTGGCTCAGCGGTTAGAGTGTCAGCCTGTGTTCGGAGAGGCCCGGGTTCGGTTCCCGCTAAGGGCATGTACCTCGGTTGCAGTTTGTCCTTGGCCCTGGTTGGGTCATGCAGGTGGCAGCCACTCGATGTGTCCCTTTCACGTCGATGTTTCTCTCTCTCTCCCTCTCTCTCTCTCTCTCTCTCTCTCTCTCCCTCCCTTCCATTCTATCTGAACAAAAAAAAAAAAAAAAAGGAAAAATGTCTTCGGGTGAGGATGATTAAAAAAAAAAAGATAACCATTGAGTGCATGAGTGTGCATCCCGTAGAACCCTCGCAGTCACCCCACGAGGTGCATATTGTGACGCTCATCCCGTTTTAGCTGGGGTGACTCCAACTCAGAGCAGCCAAGTCTCCGGTCCCAGCTCACACAGCAAGTGCACCCTGGATCCAGGGACAGGAAGTGGGTGTGGTGGGGCCAGCTTTCACTCAAAGAGCCTTCCTTTGCGGGAAGAGACTATAGTCACCTGTTTGCATTCATTTATTCAGTACCTCCAAGAGAGGCAACAGGCATATGTCATTTTGTGCTTCACAGATATTGTGTTAAAAAAAAAAAAGTAAAGGTAAGGCCCTCCACAGCTTAAGGATTAAGACTTGCTGAAGGCTTAGATGATAGTTAGCATTTTTTAGCGATAAAGTGGTTTTTAATTAAGGTATAATACATTGTGTGTTTTAGACATATGCTGTAGCACACTTGATAAACTAGTATAGTGTAAACATTACTGTTATGTGTACTGGGAAACCAAAATATTCGTGTGACTCGTTTTATTGCGGTGGTCTGGACCAGTTCCGCAGTATCTCCGAGGTATGCCTTAAAGGGCTCGTGGCTGTGAGTGTGGGTTCTTTTTTTTTTTATCCTCACCAGATGACATTTTTTCCTTTTTGTTCAGATAGAGTGGGAG